GGCCCGGGCTGGGGATTCGAGCCCGCCACCTTAGGTGTATATGGCTGGCGCCTTAGCTGCTTGAGCCACAGGCGCCGAGCCCAATGGTAGTTTCTTAAAGGTTAGTTGGAATATAGAATCTGAAGCCTCATCAATTAAGTTTTTGTTTTTGCTACTTAAGTTCCATTGACATATCTTGTGCTTTGTGTGGATCTTTGAAGCCTGTGTGTGATTTACTAACATGCATTGGTCCCTTGGAAAATACTGGTTCACTGAGTTGTGCAGCTCTTCCAAATGTTGGCAAATTTCCTTATACAGGGTGTCCATAAAGTTTGTGTGCAATAGAAAATTCCACACTATTTTAAATTATACACAAACTTGATGGCCACCCTGTATGATATCAGGGAGTCACATTTGTTAATATCCTTTCTGATCTCACCACGAAAGTCTTTGACCATTGGGAAGTTGTCACACACACAGTAGAAGATAAAAATTTTCCGAAAGTCTAATTCTAATTTAAGTTTAAAGCTTGAATTTTATCATTGGCAACAAATCCCATTAGCTGTTTTTCTTGAAGTGACAGGCTCACTTTGTTTATTTTTGAGAAAATGCCTGCCAAATATTCAAGTCTGAATAACCCTAGTTTTGTCTGTCAGTTGTTCTTTCAAGTAAAAATAGCATTCTGTGAAAAAGTGGCTAATTTAGTTCAAAGCTCAGTTGCACAAGCACTTTCCTGAGGCCAATACCATGCTTTGGTATGCAGCCTAAGTCCTTTAATGTGTACTTGGCATTTTGTTGCACAGAATAGTAAAGAGATGTGTACTCAAGGGTTGAAACTCAACAAAATTAGTAGTTTTTACTGCTTTCTCAAAAACATTACTAGATTTCATTTCCTGTGTTTTATTTATTTATTTATTTATTTATGCACTTATTTGTTCATTTCTCCCTCCTCCCCAACCCCCACTGAGACCATATGGCAGTGAGGAATACAATGACTACTAGTACCATTTGGTGCCAGTGGCTTGATTCCTGCTAAGGTGCCAGCAGTTTTTCCCACCATTAATTTTGTACCATTAGTGCGAATGTCACCACAGTGATAAAGCCAAATGATGTCTTATATTATGTTTGTCTTATGTTAGGATTTTAATGATTGTCTTTGTATTATTATGAAAATAGTTTTGACCTCATGGACTCCTTGAAAGGCTTTCCGGGATTCCCCAGGGGTCTGCAGACAGACCTTGGGAGGGTCAGAGGTCTCAGCTGTCCCCCAGGGCTGAGCGTTTAAGTTCTTTCCAGTTCCTCCCTCTGGGAAGTCCTTGCGCCAGCCCCTAGGACAGAACCATCTTGACCATCAGCCTTAGTGGAGGAAAGCCTAGCCATCGCAGAGGAAGGGGTGTAGTTATGTTGGGTCCTGTGGCACCTCCTTTCTTCTTCTCCGACAGAGCAGTGAGTCAGTCACCTTAGACTTGCTGACCTACACAGACCTGGAGTCCCTGCGGAACCGCAAGATGGGGGGCCGTTCAGGCCCCACGGCCCCCAGATCGGCTCAGCTCAATTCCAAGCGGTACCTGATCCTCATCTACTCTGTGGAATTTGACAGGTGGGGAAAAGGGGTAGAATGTAAACCCTGGCTGGTGGGCAGGATGGGAGAGGATGTGGCTAGATTTCAGGAATCCCTGGCACCCAGGACAAGGTGGGGATGTTGTTTAAGCCTTTCCTTTGGAATCTTCTCATGTTGGAGTTAGTATCATTTAATATTGTGTTGGCCACAAGTGACAGAATAACCATTGCTGGTGCCTTATGGAAATAAGTTTATCACATAAGATGATGTCTAGGTAGGTGGCTTCTACTTAACAGTTCCATTAGGAACTCAGGCTCCTTATGTTTTATTTAGTTTTTTCCTTTGTCATCCTTAATGTGTTCACTTTTGACTTCATCTTTATCTCTTCATGATCACAAAATAGCTGCTGGGCCTCCAAACATTGCTTCTATATCAAGGCAGGAAGAAGGGGGACAAGGCTGTGTTTGCTAATTGCATCTGCTGTTTTTATCAGGAAAAAAAAAAGTATTCCCAGAAGACTCTCAGCAGATATCCTATAATACCTGGCTAGAAGCAGTCCCATGCAAGGGATGCTGAGAAAATTAATATCTGGCGTTCTAGCCTTTATAGTGGAAGACAGCATGGGAGTTGGGACTGGCTGTTGGGTAGCTGGATAACAGTGTCTGTCCCATGTGTTAGTAGCTCCTGGATTTTTAGTGGGAAGTTATGGATACGCTGTGAATGGCAGTTAGTTAATCAAGGTGCTCTACGTTTCCCTAGCCAAGTGCTACCAAGGTCAGGCCAACCAGAATCTCCTACTGTGGAATCTGAATTAGGATTGTGTTTAGCTGCACATAACATAATACCAGCATCTCCTCACCAGCAGTGTAGGACAAATAAGTTAATTCAGATTGCACTAGGGCTGTTTATTCCAGTGGTCCCAAAATTGCTATGTAAGAAGCTCTTAGGAGTGGTGACTGTTGCAAGGGGCCTGGTGGCAGGGAGAGGCTCTCAGAAGGTGAGGTTTTTGGGATTGTCTTTTTCATACTCTATGATTTTCAGAGTCTAGTAGTTATCCTTGAGTGGATTCTTGGCCTCTGAGATGTCATGATTCTGATCTTCCCTCCTCAGGATTCACTACCCACTGCCCCTCCCGTACCAGGGCAAGCCAGACCCTGTGGTCCTGCAGGGCATCATTCGCTCACTGAAGGAAGAGCTGGGCCGCCTACGAGGGCTGAATGGCCCAGACACTCGGGACAGCCGGGAGACTGAGATCTGGCACCTGCGGGAGCAGTAAGTTTTGGAGGGATAGGGGACTAAGGTAGGATGGGGCATGTCCCATTGTGCACTTTGAGGCTCTCATGCTTGGCACCATCGGGAGGACAGCTGTGTTTCATCTGCCATGTGTTTATTCTAAGCCCCTCTGTGCCTGCCTTATCCTAGGTGGTGCTGGGGACCAAGATTATTCTGGTTGTGCCCTGCTGTGGCTCCCAGTCCAGTGATTGGTACAGATCTGTTTGAAGACAGTGAAGGCTCAGAATGGTGGGCAGGGGGATTCCAGAGGGAGAGCCTGGACCTGCCTGGTAAGGGAGGAGTGTTCTTAGCACAGGGAACAGCATGTCAAAGACAGGGTAGGAGGTCACGCTATGTTCATTTGAATCTACCTTCACTGGGGCCTCATGCTGGCTAGCATCCCATGCTCTGTCCCTCCCATGGTACCCAGCCCAGGGCAGGTGGATGTTAGTCATATAACCATCTGAGTCTATCACTGCAGACTTGATGGGGGAGGCAGGTAAGGGAGACTGTGCTGTGGGGGCTGTAACAGGATCCTGATGGGGTATTAGGGTGGGTCAGGCAAAGGGGCCAGGCACTGCATGAGGGAAGAGTTTTGGGGGCAGAGGGAACGGCATGTGTAAAGTCCTTGTGTTAAGTGGGAATGTGGTAAGAACAAGTGGACTGAAAGAATGAAGAAGTGAAGAAAGCAAAGGTTTTTGGTATTTTTTTTCATTTCTGCCACATGCTTTAGGCTTGTGGAGGAGCAGAATTGAGGACGAGTCTCTACCTGGAGGGGGCCTGACTTTGGAGAGGACTAATAAGCTGGGGTTTTTTTTTTTTTTTTGAGACAGAGTCTCACTATGTTGCCCTTGGTAGAGTGCTATGGCGTCATAGCTCATGGCAACTTGAAACTCTTAGGCTAAAGCGATTCTCTTACCTTAGCCTCCCAAGTAGCTGGGATTACAGGCACCCTCCATAACGCCTGGCTATGTTTCGGTTGCAGTTGTCATTGTTGCTTAGCAGGCCTGGGCTGGGCTCGAATCCACTACCCTCAGTGTATGTAGCTGGCATCCTACTCACTGAGCTACGGGAGCTGAGCCACTAACAGTGTTTTTTAGTAATAATAATTATACCAGCAGATAATTTTTATTGAGCATTTAACTGTGTTCCAGGGACTCTCTCAGTGCTTTATGATTGAATTCATTCTATCCTCACAACTACCTATGAAGTAGGCACTATCAACCCCACTTTACAGGAAACTGAGGCCCAAAGAAGTTAGGAAACTTGCCCTAGGTCACACAGTTAGTAATAAGGCCAGTGTTGACCTTAAATCCAGGCAGCCAGTGCCACTCTACCTTTTTTCCACAGCCATTCTGCTATTAGTGGTGGCTGCCAGCCTAGGACAGAGCCCTAAGTGCTGACATGGAAGACCAGCCCTCCCTCCTCCCAGGAATGGGAGCTGATGGGGCAGGGAAACTCTGTGGGTCTTCCTGGAGGAGCTTGGCTGCGCACTGGTGGGCTGAGGGGTAGGAAAGCCACAGTGGGGAGGCCAAAGTGGGAAGCAGAATAGTCTTCACTTTCAGTTCATCCTCAGGATCTGTGTGTGTGTGTGTGTGTTTTCCCAGCCTAGCCACAAGGTGACACCCTCTGCCTTTAGGACTTACCTGCAGAACTGGAGAGGGTGACTGTGTGTTTCCCAGGATAGCCACAAGGTGGCACGCTTTGCCTTTAGGACCCACCTACAAAACTTGAGAGATCCCACTGTTAAGATTTATTCATTCATTTGGCCAACATTTATTGAGTTCAAACTATATGCCAGACACACTGCCCAGCACTAGTTAATGTTTATTATGCCAGACTTGGTCTAAGCACTCTTCAGAGATTTTCACAACCTTACAGGTAGGTATGATTATTATCATCCCTTTTCACAGATGAGAAGAGATGGACTGAGGCCCAGAGATGTGAAATTAAATTGCCCCAAGTTCCCTCAGCTTGTTAATAAGTGGAGTAGAGTTGAATACAGGGAGCCTGGGCATGAAGCCCGGGTTCCTAAACATTGAACCAGACATATGGAGACTCTGTCTTCAGAAAGGTGGGGACCCAGGGAGAAAACAGATAATCACACTGATAAATGACAGCTTTACTGTAGTGGGTGCTAGGAAGGAAATGTGCAGAAAGCCAGGAGGGCAGAGAACACTGTGACAGGCAGGTTTCCCTGGATGAGTGGAGTCATTCCTGCCAGGAGGAGAAAGAGAGAGAGTGTTTTGGAAGAAGGAGGGAACTGCATTCGCAGTTGGAGCCCTGTGGGACAGGGAAGTAGGAGGAGAAGAGGGGAGAAGTTAGCTGGGCAGGGGCCCAAGGGGAAGCTCTTGAGAGACTATAGGGAAATCGCAGAGTTTTAGAATGATTTATTAGGAAAAATTCCAAGCACACTGAAAAGTAGCCAGGAGGGTAACATGCATGTACTTGTCCTCCAGCTTTTCTTTTTTTGAGATGGTCCCACTCTGTCACCCAGGTTGGAGCACAGTGGCACAATCATAGCTTTCTGCAGCCTCCAACTCCTGGGCTCCAGCCAGCCTCCTGCCTCAGCCTTCTGAGTAGATGGGACTACAAGCATGCACTACCACACCTGGCTAATTTTTTCTTATTTTTTGTAGAGACGGAGTCTTGCTGTATTGTTTAGTATTCCAGCTTAATCAGTTACCCACATTTTGCCCATCTTGTCTGATCTATTTGCCCTTCCCCCAAGAAGCAAATCCCAGACTTTTATCCCCTCTGCAAATGCTTCAGTATGTATCTTTCACATGTAAGGACATTAAAAACAAGCACCATTATCACATCCAACAAAATTAACAAAAATTCTATAATGTCATCTGATGACCTCACAATTGTCTTTTTGTAATTGGTTTGTTTGAATTAATATTCTAGGTCAATATGTATGGCTGTACATTGCAGTTTGTTGATGTGTTTCTTAAATCTCTTTTAGTTTACATCCTTCCCCCTCCACTTTTCATCTTTTTTGTGGAAGAAACCAGGTTGTTTGTCCTGTAGAGTTTCGCAGTCTAGATTTTGCTGATTTTTGCAGTATGATGTTTAACATCTTGCTCTGTCCCCTATTCCAGTGAAGTGGTGGCTAAACCTATAGACTCAATCTATTTGGAATCAGATTTTTGGCAAGACACCTTCCTCGGTGGTGCCGGGTGCTTCTGACAGTCAGGTGGTGTTGAAATGGGCGAGTTCAGTGATTGAGAGCTGTCAGGAGGGAGGATGATGAGGCCCTGCTCTCTCTCCATCTCAGTCTTTCTTCCCCTGTCTCTAGGGTGTCGCGCTTGGCATCTGAGAAGCGTGAGCTGGAGTCCCAGCTGGGCCGATCGCGGGAGGAGGCTCTGGCTGGGCGGGCGGCGCGCCAGGAGGCCGAGGCACTGCGGGGACTCGTACGGGGCCTGGAGTTGGAGTTGCGGCAAGAACGTGGCCTCGGGCACAGGGCTGTGGGTCCCCGCCGCAGCCAGGACTGCCGCCGCCTGGCTAAGGAGGTGAGGGAAAGGGGCGGCCGCTGGGAGCGGCCGGTCCGGCTTAGGCCTCAGCTTCAGTCTGGACCTCGGCACCCCTTTCCCCTCCTGGCAGCTAGAGGAGGTGAAGGCATCAGAGCGGAGCCTGCGCTCACGGCTGAAGACACTGAACAGCGAGCTGGCCCTTTACAAAAGGGGGTGAGAGGCGCGTCTTGGAGTGGGCGGGAACTGCGGGTGGGTTGGGACAGACAGACCGGGCCTAAACGAGGGTGGAGTCTGAGGACATGTGGGTGGGACCCGAGCAGGATGGGGGCGGGCACAGCCTGAGGCGGGCGGGGCCTAGTAGACGGGTGGAGCTTAGGGAGAGATTCTGAATACTGTAAGGTACCATAGTTAGAAATAGTGGACTGGTGCGACAGAGTGACACTCTGGCTCAGGGGGAAAAATTATATATATATATACACACACATACACAGATATATAAAAAAATAGTGGACTTGGCCTGTGGGTAGGTTTGGGTGCGGCCTTCAGGAGGCAGGGCCTGAAGAGAGGGACTGGGAAAGGGGCGGGCCTGAGGTTCATGAGTGGAAAGGGTACAGCAGCAGATGGGGATCAGGGTGTTGTTGGTTGAAATTTATTGGTGTGGGTGGCGGAAAGGTTTCTAGGGGGCTGTGGGAGACCTCGGGAAGAAAGGTCTGGTGAAGGGACTATGTTGAAAGGATGTAGGGAGATGACTGGATATTTTGGTGGGGCAGGTATATGAGATAGTTTTGAGCGAGGGTGTGCATGTCTAGGAGTTGTTTGGAGATGAGAGTTCAAATAAAGTGTGGTAAGTTGGGGAAGAGGCTTGTGATTGAGGTCCAGGCTAGAAGGAAACTGACAGCTGGTTCTATAGTCCCAGGGGACGAACTCCGCCAGTGGTGCAGCCACTAGCCCGGGAGGACCAGGCTTCATCCCACGAGCGCTCCACCTCTCGTGGCCGTGGTGCTACTCGATCTTCATCCCGGGAGAGTGGCCGCGGAAGCCGGGGTCGGGGCCGTCCTTCCCGCTCCTCACCCTCACCCACAGGTCTGTACCTGTTCTGCCCCCTGCCCTGCCTGAGGAGACATGGAGCCTGTGACCCCAGTTTCCTCTTTTCTCGAATTTTCCCACCTTATTCTAGGTGGTCGTGCTCTCCGTTTTGACCCCACAGCTTTTGTGAAAGCCAAGGAAAAGAAGCAGAGAGAGATCAAGATGAAGTTAGTGCACATTCCCCTTCACCTGCCTTATCGCCAGCCCAGTATTCGGTTCCCTGACCTCTGCCTGCTTTTTCGCTATCTGGCAGAGTCCCTCATTTCCCTCTTCCTTCCATCTGTTTCCATAATCTGTGACCTGCTCCATTATTCCCTCCCCACACCCTGCTTGCTTCTCCCCAGAGCCCACCTCCTCTGCTGACCCTTGCTGGCTCTGTTTTCTTGTCTCACCCCCACCTTTCTGTGTCCCCGCATGCTTTATCCCCTCCCAGGCCCCATGATCTCACTTGAGTCACAGGTTCTGGCTGTGACCCACAGGGGTACAGCAATGCCCTTCCCCACATTAGTTTGGCGCACAGACAGGTGTCTCCTTTCCCCTTTCTTAGGCAACAGCAGCAGCAGCGGAACCGATTGGGCAGTGGAGGAAGTGGAGAAGGTCCGTCTATCTCATGGTCTCGCCACACTCGGCCCTCTGCTGCCATGACTGGCCGAGGGGATGCAGCTAACCGCTCCCGAAACCGCAGCTCCTCGGGTAATCAGGTTGAGCTGGGGGCTGGTGGGTGGGGTGGGTTGGGGGGGTGCAGGAGGTTCACACTCTCCCCCTCCCTCCAGTGGACAGTTTCCGCAGCCGCTGCTCCTCCGCCAGCTCCTGTAGTGAGTTTGAGGATTTCTCAGAGTCGCTCTCCAGAGGGTAAAACTTGGACTGGGAGAAAGGACTAACTTGAAGGGGTATCTGGGAGACTGAAAATAATGTTTTGCAGGGAAATTGGGTAATGGGGGCTGGGGAATTTGAAACTACAAAGAAGGCAAGGTGGGCGAAACCAAAGACTCCCCACCATTGGTCCTTGGTCACTCCCTTCTCAGCATTCGTCGCCGTCGGAAGCCTCCTAGCCCCACACCCTGGAATGGGTCCAATGTGGTGAGTGTCTTTGCTCAGGCCTTGGAGGATGAAGGGGTAGCATTAAACCACTGGAATCTAGCTGTCCCCATTTCCTATGATTCCATCTTGGGGATCATGCTGCCGGGGGGACTCTGATATGCCTATTGAAACAGGGTGTTTTGAGAAGGAAGGATTGAAGGAACTATGAGGGGCACCATGATCCCATTTAAGGGTCTGGCTTCAGATTGTCAAGTCTTAAAACTTGGTTTCTCTTACTACCTCTATCACTCAAGGCAATTTATTGGCCTTTCTGTATCTTGGTTTCTTTATTGGTTAAATGAGAATGGTAATAGTGTCACTTCAGAGAGCTCTTGTGAGGACACAAGGAGGTTATTTTCCATATAGTGAGTGTTGAGTTAGGTGTCAGGCCTTATTTTTTTCTGAGGTCCTTAGGTCCAGAATTTCTGGTGAGATTTTAGGGGGCAGAAATAGAGGGAGGGTACCTGACCCTCTTTCCTGACTTCCCCATCACCAGAAGTCTACCCCCTTGGAACGCAACCACCATCAGAGGCGCCTGGCCAACTCAGGTGGCTGGGTCCCCATCAAAGGTGAGCCTGCGACTCCACATCTCTCCCACACAACCAGAACCCATTGGGATGGTGATGAGGGCACTGGTAATTGGATCCAGCAGCTCCCTGTGGCTTCAGTCCCCTCACAGCCCTCCAAACCCATGCCTACTCTCATAGAGTACAGCTCAGACCACCAGGCAGCTGACATGGCTGAAATTGATGCCCGCCTGAAGGCCTTGCAGGAATACATGAACCGACTGGACACGCGGTCGTGACTGTGGAGAGGGGGTACTGCCCCTCCATTCTCCAGCCACTGCTGGGTATGGTGTGGTGGGTGGGCCAGGGTAGCCTTCCAGTCCCCCCCCAGGCCCCACCCCTCCTGGTGCTCCTGGGGTCTAGGATATGAGAGGCCCTGACCTCCTCCTCTCCCTAGGCAAGGCATGCTGGGAGGGAGGATATGTGCATTTTGTAAATAAACATTTGCTTTTGGGACCCCCTCAGCTTATGACTGAAGGGTGAAGGTGGAGTGGGGAGAGAGGGAAATTGGGCAGTGCAATTGGGACCTGAGTATATTTCTGGGCATGTCTTGTGACTGGGAAGCATATTGGGGTTCAAGCTCAAGAAAAACTACCACATTCTCAAAGCAATGCAAGAGGGGACCTGGGGGGTGAGAGTGAGCATCTGTTCCCAAAGGAGTCCAAACAGATTGTTCACAGGATGTCTTTGGCTGTGTGGTGGGAAAGGGTGGCTGGCAGCACGGTTCACTGTCTGGGCGGACCCCAGCTGCTGCCAGTGGGTATCCAGGCTGACCTGGTGCTAACTCCTGGGCTCTGACCTGAGATCTCTGGATTCTGAGCTGTGATGTTGCTTTCAAGCTGGGATCTCTGGGGTCTTGGTTTAGGGTCGGGGCCTCTGGATTCCGAGCACCAGAGAGAAGAGTGTTGGGAAGAGAGGGGGGATGGCCACAGTCTAGTTGGAGGGAGGAAGAGAGGGGAGACACCCACAGGAATACAGTTTGAGCTATGCCTTTACTGGAGGAGGAGGCAGTGGGATTTCTGGCCATGGGTGGAGAGGAACACTGTGTGAACAGTAGGCCCTCACTCACGGTAGTGAGGCCAATTCCGGATGGCTTCATAGAGCTGGTCTCCTGGAGAGAGCGTTTGCTGCACATCACGGTGTCCTTTGACCTCATATTTGGGGCTCAGGGCTCCCTGAGCCACCCCGCAGGCCAGCAGACTTTGGGCTGCCCGGAGGGCCCGGGCTCGGGGCAACCGCTCTGGGGGAGATAGAGACAGGAGTGAGGCTGGGGCTTACTAGGAGGGCACAGGTAGTGTAGGGTAGTGGGTACAATCAAGGGCTCTGAGCTAGACTTAGCCTCTTTGTGCCTCAGTTTCCTCATCCATGAAAGGGGAGAATTATGGTACTCACCTTCCCACATTTTACCTGTTGGGTAGGTCAAATGCATTTTTTTTTTTTAAACCCACAGAATAGCACAGCAGAGTAAACCCTTAGCAAGTATTGGTTTGTCCAAGTGATTATTGCTTTATTTTCTCTCATTTGTCCCCAGATCTCTGGGTCCTACCTACAAAAGTAGCTGATGTTTGCCAGGCACTTCTTAGATGCTATGGATTGGCCTGAGAATTTTTATATCAACAAATCCCCACTCTCTCCTTGTGGTTGAAAATGGAGGAAATGAGGCTCAGAAAATGGAGCAACTTGCCTCTCAACCACAAGCTACCATGTTATACCACTGCCTTGCCCCTTGTGAAACCCCCTATCTCTACTGGCTGGACAGTTACTTACCCATGTAGTTGCCCATGAAGGTGATGCCAATGGATATGGGGTTCCAGGTGGGACCCGTATGGTCGCCCTTGATGTTCCAACCCCGGCCCTCATACACAAGCCCGTCTTCTCCAATCAGGAAGCTGCTCAGGAAGGTGGGGGCTGAATGAGTGAGTGAGGACTTTCTGGGAGAGGACTTCACCCCCTTTTTCCCTCAACTTGCACCACCCCCATTCATGCCGTGAACACATAATTTCCCTCCCATTCTCCTCCCCTTATTTTCCACAGTAGTGATGACTGGGCTATTTATCGAGCCCATGCTACATACCACGCACAGCCCTCCACATACTTTTTTCATTTGCACAACAAGGTGGGGAGGTCAACACCACTCCCATTTTATATAAAGAATCAGAGTGGTGGAGTCAGCTCTCCGCAGTCAGGATGGTCAGGGGTGAGCTGGGCTTTTCACCCAGGTCTCCTGGGTGAGATTCCCACCCACATGATCTCATTCCTTGCTCTTTCCTGCCTTCCTGGAGGATTTGTCGAACTCTTGCTTTGCTGACTCCTTATACAACAACTCTCTGAGGTAGGTACTGTTCTTATGCCCATTTTAAGCTTAGAAGACAGACACTCAGAAAGTGACATGATTTCCACAAGGTCCCCAAAGACTCCTGCTTCTCAGAACTCCGTTCTCACCCAGGCTGCTTCCTGCCCTCAGGGCTCAGTTGGGCAACAGAATCGGGGACTCAAGGTTGGGATCACAACCAGATACAGACCCTAGAGCCCTAGCTTTTGCCTCTTTTGAGGTTTCCAATCTTGGCAGTGGATTCTTAAGACTCAGCATATCTTGATTGAGTCTGACTTGGCACACTGGAGTTAACTAGATGATCTTAGAGCTACACTGTCTGCTGACTTAGCTCTCTGGCTCACAGGGTTATTGATGATGCACAGAATGTGGGAATCTCTGAATTTTGAGTCATAAATGTGCTGCTTAGGAGGCCAGGTCACGGAATCTACCTCTGCAGAGACTAGAAACACCATTGTGGTGCCAGCTGCTGGGACCAGGCTGGTTATAGCCCTGGCACGTTCCCTGCCCCTGGCACAGGGAATTGGTGCTTTGTTTCCGTTTGTTACATCAGTGCATCTAAGTTAAATCTCAACCACCAAAAAAATAAAAATAAAACCTTCAACCACCATATGGTCAAGAAAGAGCCTCATTTACAGGTGAAGAAACAGGTTCAGAGAGAAGCTGACATGACAAGGAAAAGGGATTCAGAACATTAGAATCAAGCTCTGAATCCTGAAAGCTGAGAAACAGACTTAAGTCTGCTTTACTATAGGTGATTTAGGCCAGAGGATGCAGAGCCAGGTCACATCTTCATTCAAGGGAACACTCATAATCTGCACACCTGACTTGGAAACAAAACCTTGAAGTTGGAGGCTTAGAGTGATAAAATCTTTAAGCTGGAAGAGCTGGGGATAACACATGGAGGCTTCTAGAAGTCTTGAGTAGGGTCTCCTGAAGCGTCTTGTAGGGGTGGGGCCTGGGGATCTCCAGGTGCACCGGATGATTCTGGGGTTTCCCAAGGTCGAGCTTGGAGGGGTCATAGTTTCCTCTCATTGTGGGAACCTTGCACTGGACATGTCTGTTACATGGGAGAGGGAGCTGGTGGACACAACCCAAAAGCTGATCTAACGCCTCCAGGCTCTGTTTCTGCTCTCATTCCTGTAGTCTCTTCTGCCCACAGCAGCCAGGGGTCCTCATGCTGAAGCCAGTCTGGACTCCATATGTTCAGAGTCCTCACTGTGTCCCACAGGCACTATAGGATCTGGCGCTTACTGGCCGGTTTCCTTTCCACTTCCCTGCTGTGTCCTGCACTGCTTGCCCCTCTCCCCACCCCCCAACCCCCATCCTGGGACCAACTCAAAGGCAGTCTCAGGGAGGCCTTCCCTTACCCCACAAGTCTGGTTGCAGTTTTAAGGCCACCCTCCCCACCTTGTTCCTTTTACCCATCCCTGTCACCATCTGAACTCATCTTGCTGACTTGAGTTGTTCCTCACCTGTTTCTCCATGTTGGTCTTTCACCCATGCAGGGTCAGAGTTGCCCTGTTCACATCTCTGTACCAGCATCCCACATGCTACCTGGCATACAGCAGGTGCCTGATATCGGCAGCTTGTGTCTTTGTGGGCTGCTTTTACCTGCCAGTCAGTGTCTTAAGTGCTTTGCATGTATTGGCTTGCTTAATGAACAGCCTGGTCACATTCCCATGGATTTTGCAGAGCAGGAAGCTGAAGCTGAGAGGACTTGCCTCAGTCAGCAATAAGCTGAGCTGATGCTGGGATTGGCCCGGTGCACAATCAGCCTAGTTTACTACCTCCTCAACAGAAGCAACACCCTTATGGAGGAGCTCTTTCATGATGTGTAGCAGACCTCTGAGTGTATGAGTCAAAGCCCGCCCCTTCCTCCAGGATCAGGGTTTGGGCTACCCCGTTCCTCTTTTTCTTTTTCTTATTTATTTATTTGAATCAGAGTCTCACTCTATTGACCTGGGTAGAGTGCTGTGGTGTCATCATAGCTCATAGCATCAATAGCTCAATGTCTTGGGCTCAGGCATCCTGCTGCCTCAGCCTACAATGCCAGGCTAGTTTTTCTGTTTTTAGTAGAGATGGGGTCTCACTGTTGCTCAGGCTGGTCTTGAACTAGTGAGCTCAGATAATCCGCCCATCTCAGCCTCCTAAAGTGCTACTTACAGGTATGAGCCATTGGGCTGTCCTTTCCCCCTCCTTACAGCGTCTCTGTGCTGCCTGCACCTGCTCAGCCCTATATGGTAACCCCAGAAGAGACGGAGATGCCCTCAAAGTTGAGTAAGTTGCCAGGTGGCTGCAGCATTGGGTAGCGAACCCGGTCCCATTGGCTGGCGCCTGTACCCATTTGCCTCCCCTTGGCACTCACTTGTAGCCCACGTCGCACCAGCCCAGCGTCCGGGCGTGGTAGTGCTGTACATTCTGGGCCTGCTGCTGACACGAGTCCGGGGCGTTGCAGGTACTACCCGCTGTGTGCGACACCACCACGTAGCGCACCGGCAGGTTCAGGCGCTGGGCACACTCCGACGCTGCGGCCCCCCACTCGTTGCGCGGCACAATGGGGCTGCAGCAGGATGGGGCTTCTGTCTTCTGAGCTGCTCCGAGTGCCAGGAGGACCAAGAGGGCCCAGGCGAGCAGCGCTTGGTGGCGGGACATGGCGGCCAGAGTACGCAGAAAACTCTAGGAGAGCGCCCCAACTGGGCCACTTTAATCTGCCTGGGTGGAGCTGCGGGAGTCTTGCTTCACACCCTGGCGGGACTTCCCCTGCTGATGACCCAGGACCCCCGACCTTCGCTTCCCTAATACGGCAGAGCCAGAACAGGATGCGGTGTAGACTTGGGTCAGGTGGGGAGAGGGTTCAACCGGAAGGGACGCAGTTGGCCCTGTGGTTTCTGAAGACCCAGGGCTTGGATCCCTGCTCTGTTTTGCATCTGCCCTCAGTGGGGCATTGGACAACTCAACAGGAACTTATGCCAGAGTGAGAGGCCCAGGACGTTGACACATCTCCTTCCTGCAAAGACTGAGGTAACAAAAGTGCCAGCTTTTAAAATACATCCTTTTCCCAGGTCCAAGCCTGATATCACTTATTCCTTGTGCTAAACTGGAGAGAGGTAACAGGAAGCCCATTTCACAGCTGAATAAACTGAGGCTGGGAGAGGGGAAGTCAGTGCTGAGACATGGGGGTGTGTGGAGCTTGTTGGTCCAGAGCCTAAGTTCAGAGCCAGGTGCCTGCATGTGAATCCTGGTCACTTTAAAGTGTGTGAGCCCCAGAAAGTGCTTTAACCTTTCTGTGCCTTGGTTTCCCCATCTGCCGTATGGGGATTATAACATAAAGTACCTAACACAGGGTTGATAAGGGATTAGGTGGGTTGACGAACATAGAGCCCTTAAAAGTTGGTTAGTACATAGTGCCACATAAATGCCACTGAAACTCAAAAACTCAAGCCTTGGTAGTAAGGAACATGCTTTTTATGGATCCTACTGAGCATTCTGGAGAGGAGGGAATCTGACTTCCAGAGAGATCTGCCATTTGCCTAGGGCCACTGAGTGAGTTGAGATTACATGTTAGGGCAGAAAGATTTCCTGGGTTTTTTTGTCCCACTAGGCCTCCTTTTCTGCACCTTCCTAGAGTGAGTTCAGGGCAGACTGCAGGGTTTGATTTTCTTTTTACTTCTACTTTAGTGGCTCTTAAAAAAAGAAATCACAAAAGTAACACATGCTAGCTGTAACAAGTTGAATTAATATGCCGTGTTAACCACCTGTGTGCTACCCCTCCAGCTCTGCCCATCTGAGGATCTGAGGTCACTAGTGAGAAAGGTTTGGTAACTATTCTCCATAGTTAGATAGATTATGCTCATATCATGGAATAGTGCACCAGGGATCTCTAAGCACGTTTAAGAAATTATCACATGCTAACTAGCCAGGTGTTGTGATAGGTATGTATAGTCCCAGCTACTTGGGACGCAGAGACAAGAGGATTACTTGAGCCCAAGAGTTTGAGGTCACCTTGAACTATGATGCCATGAAACTCTACCTAGGGTGACTGAATGAGACTCTGTCTCAAAAAAAAAGAATTGTCCCATGCTCAAAACAAGGCTCTGAGGTACATGTTATTATTAACCCCTTTTATAAGTCAAGGAAAACGAAGCCTGGAGGTGTTGTCACACACAGGGAGGAGATGTTGAAGCCAGGGTTTGGCCATAGGCTTCCTGCCTCCAGTTCCAAACCATATTCCACTTCTTATAAGCTTATGTAAGTTAAATAGAGCAAAATCAAAGCCATATGTATCAATTTACCTTTTGTCCCCTAATATTTTATTTGCATCCCCTCCAGCGCAATGCATTTAACTCTAATTTATTCTTCATAAGATTTGCACAATATTTCATGGTATAGGTTCACCATTGTTGATGTACTCTCCTCTTTTTTTTTTTTTTTTTTTAAGAGACAGAGTCTCACTTTATCGTCCTTAGTAGAGTGCTGTGGCATCACACAGCTCACAGCAGCCTCCAACTCCTGGGCTGAAGCGATTCTCTTGCCTCAGCCTCCCGAGTAGCCGGGACTACAGGTGCCCACCACAACGCTGGGCTATTTTTTGGTTGCAGTTCGGCCAGGACTGGGTTTGAACCTGCCACCCTCGGTATATGGGGCCGGCGCCCTACTCACTGAGCCACAGGCACCACCCTAAGTTCACCATTGTTGATGTACTCTTCTCTTTTGAATGCTTTCCAGTTTTTTCCTCTATGCTGCACAAAACATTCTTGGACATACATCCCTACTCACTGGAGCATTTATAAATAATAAATACAGACTCGTTAGGTCAAAGAGCATGCATATTTAATTGATATTACCAGATAGTTTCCCCCCAAAGGCTGTTAACAATTCTTATTTCCTGGCTTGGCACCTGTGGCCCAAGCGGCTAAGGCGCCAGCCACATACACCTGAGCTGTTCGAAGCCAGCCTGGGCTCGCCAAACAACAATGATGGCTGCAACCAAAAAATAGGCGGGCGTTGTGGCGGGCACCTGTAGTCCCAGCTACTTGGGAGGCAGAGTCAGGAGAATCGCTCGAGCCCAGGAGCTGGAGGTTGCTGTGAGCTATGATGCCACAGCACTCTACCCAGGGTGACAGCTTGAGGCTCCATCTCAAAAATAAAAAAAAATTCTTATTTCCACCAGTAATGAACTGGAGCCTTTTCACTCCCATTCCAGAAGTGTTATCACTTCTTAAATTTATATTAAGTGACATATCCATGTAACTTTAATTGGTATTTTTGTGGCCACTCAAACGACTGGGTATTTTTGTTTTTTACTGCCTATTTGCATTTGCTTTCTGCCAATTGCCTGTTCATATCCATTTCTTAATTTAAAAAAAATTGGGCTGAAGCTGAGTGCAGTGGTTCATGCCTATAATCCTAGCACTTTGGGAGGCTGAGGTGGGCAGATTGCTTGAGCTCAGGAGTTTGAGACCAGACTGAGCAGGAGTGAGGCCCCTGTCTCTACTAAAATAGAAAAAACTACCCAGGTGTTGTGGTGTGGGCTCCTGTAGTCCGAGCTACCTAGGAGACTGAGGCAGGAGGATCACTTTAGCTCCAGAGTTTGAGGTTGCTGTGAGCTATGATGATGCCATGTCACTCAACCCCGGAGCGACAGATGAAACTCTGTTTAGCTTCTTAAAGAAGCTTATAAATAGGACGGTTGAGTTGCTAGATATGCACATTTTGTGTCTTAGGATTTTTTTTAAAGAAGCATTAAAGATAACATCCATATAAAAAATATTCAAACACATTTTTTATAGAGTTAATTGAGTGGAAAACTTTATTAATTTTCACAAAGTGAATACACCTGTGTATCCAGGACTCTGCTCAAGAAGTAGAGCTACTTTGGAAATTTTAATAGATATTGCCAAATGCTATTTCAAAAAGATGTCGTATTTATTTTCATCAGCAGTGTAATCAGTTTTAAAATGCTTTGCTAATCCAAGGAACAGGATCTTATTATTGTTTTATTTGCATTTCCTTGAACATGAGAGGAGTGATTGCCTATTTACATATTTGTGGCTGTTAGCATCTGTCTTCTGTTTGTCCATCTCTTTTAATCATTTTCCCGTTGGGTTGTGGGATGTGAGACATGGTAACCTTACATCTGTCAAATGTACTGCAAGCCTTTTCCTTCCAATCCTTTTTAAAAAAATCTATTTCTTTTTTATGGTTTCTGTGTTTCTCATCTTGCCTTAAGAAGGATTTTTTTTTTTTACATCAAGAGCAGAAAACTTTTACTTAGAAAATATTGTTATTTTGTGTCTTACTTTTAGATTTTTACTTAGCAGGATGACCTTAGGCAATTGGGCAGCATTTTACAGAGCTGACTGCTTCTTCCTTGAAGTGTTGACTTCCCTTAACTTCCGTGACATAAGAATTTCTTCACTTTCCTTCTGCTCTCTGCTGGTTCTTTTATTCATCTGCTCTTTTTAAGACTAATTCTTCCCTCCTGGACCATCATATTATACTTTTTCTGCCAGGTGATCTTATCCACCTACTGGCTTTAGCCACCACTGAAATGCAGGTAATTCCCAGATTTCTCAGATGAGTTCTGGATCTTTGTATCTACCTGCCTACCTGACATCTCTACTTGGCTGTCCCACAAGCTTCTTCAATGCAAGATGATTCATGATTTTCTCCTCTAAATCAGCCCTAGTTCAGCAGCCCCCATTTAATGGAATAGTATTACTGTCTTTCCATTACAAAAGCCAGTAATTTGAGCATTATCCTTGAGTTACCAACCTCTGTTCCTTTCCTTCTTCTATCCAGCACCCAAACAATGCCCAGCACATAGCAGGTGCTCACTAGATAGTTACCGAATGATTGAATGAGTATGTCACCCACTTACAAGTCATGCTGCTGTTATCTCTTGAATATTTTGTGAAGTAGACCATTTCTGTCTATTTTCAGTATCTCTACCCTGGTTGAGTCACTGTCTCTTGTCACCTGGATTTTGCTCCTGTCTCTTCAGTGACCCCTCAGCATGTGCTGTGGCCTTTGTGAGGACAAAGTCGAGATCTGATCAGGCCTTTCCTGAAGATTACTCTCAAAAGTGAGTCACATTTTTCTGTGGCTTCTCATTGACTGCTATGATGAGGACCACACTCCTTGTGGCTAACAGCATGGGCCACTGACAGCCTGGGTTGGCCCCACCCCAGCCTCATTTCCTCACTCCAAGACCCTCTTTCTTTCTTTCTTTTTTTTTTTTGAGACAGAGTCTGACTTTGTCAAGCTCAGTAGAGTGTCACGGCCTCATAGCTCATAGCAATCTCAAACTCTTGGCTCAAGCGGTTCTCTTGCCTCAGCCTCCCTAGTAGCTGGGACTATAGGTGCCCACTACGATACCCAGCTATTTTTTAGAGACAAGGTCTCACTCTTGCTCGGGCTGGTCTTGAACCCGTGAGAGGTCAGGCAATCCACCCACCTCAGCCTCCCAGAATGCTAAGATTACAGGCATGAGCAACCTCGCCTGGCCTTCAAGACCCTCTATCTGGCACTCCTAGCCACTTTCCCTTTCTTGCCGCCCTGGAACATGCTTTGACTACTCTGCTCCTAAGGGGACTATGGACACTCTGTGTACAAATTTTAAATAGAGGAAACTTGAGTTCAGGAACTTTGTA